GAAGGAACAGGGTGGCTTGTGTCATCTGAAATCAGAAGCTTCAAAAGGGGGATTTCCCATGGATGAATATTGAAAGCACATGCTGAGTGAAATAAGTCAGTTCCAAGAGGACAGATATTGTATGATCCACTTAGATGAGAAACCTAAGGTAGGCAAGTGTGTAGAGATCAAAGTTTATTAGTGTATACTAGGGGTAGGAGCTCTGGTGGCGTGGTGCCTAAGGCACTTTACTGCTAACCAGAAGGTTGGCGGTTCAAACCTACTAGCCACTTCTTGGAAGGAAGGTTGGGCAATCTACTTCCGTAGTAATACTGCCTCAGAAACCTAAGGAGGGGTCACTATGAATTGGAGACAGACTCGACAGATCATAACAACACAGCAACGGGTGGGTGGGAGAGAGAGGAAAAGGCAGACTCGCTGCTTAGGGGACACAGCTTTTAAGAGTGATGGGAAAATTAGGGAATGGATAGTGTAATGGTTGAAGAACATGCTGAAAATAATGTTACTGAACTGTACATGTGACAAATGTTGAAAAGCCAAATGATTTGTTACATGTATGTATATTTACCACAGTAAAATAAAAAAAAAAAAAAAAAGAAATGGAAAGTAAAAAATGAGGCAAGTGGATATAAGAAGGAAGTGATAAAATGTGTGGATTTACTGCAGAACTTGGCAGTGATTCCAAAGAGCATCTGGAAGGAGAAGTAAGGTTGCATTTCAGAAAATTCCAAGCTGCAGTGATAAAAGCATCATGATTTTCAGGGCAAAACTAACAACACTGAAGCGGGCTGCCCTGTTCCTAAAACTTAGCTTATTGTGAAGGAGGCATGACCACCAGTAATGGAAAAAAAAGAATCATTCTCATATACAGTATAGTAACCACTCAGTAGTTTATGGGTGAGAGGGAATTGAAATTCCAGATATTAATGAGATAAAAATTCTAAATAATTAAACCAGGAGAAAACAGAATTGAACATTTATTAATCTCTAGCAGAGGGCATATGAACAGGCAATAAAAGAAATCACAATGGAGAATAACAGCTTTTGCTGCATAAAACTCCTACCATATAGAGAGGTAAACTGATAAATTACAGCTAATGTCTGTGTTATAAATATAAATATAAAAGAAGTTGCTAAGAAAATCACCTATCTTTCTGGGTTCTCATCTGTTCTAGTACTCAAGTCCTACAATGAAATTCCAGTATTTAATGCCTCTCTCGCCTTGTCTCTAAGCTCCCAGAGGAGGATCTAGCTTTCTTGGTCTTTTTGTTTTGTTTCGATTTTTTGTTTCCTTTTAAATTTCTTAAGTTTTTGTAGGCACTACATTCATGTTTGTTAGCTCCACTGCACAGAAGGCCTTCCAGTAGGTAGAGGATACGAGAGATTAAAAAAGACAAATTTGTGTTAGTAGATAGGAA